GATTCACGCTAGAGCGAGCACGACCGTACATCAGAAACGATAAATCAGCCAATCAGAATTACGCCCGGCACATTCACATCGCCTGGCCATTTCATCCAACAGAGTTCATGTCCCTCAGCCATGAACCATATCACCGGACCAGTTCACATCAGGCAAGTTCAATCCGAACTACAGATCAACCAATCGGAGTTGCGCTCGGCCCATTCACGACTGGCCCTGGAGAGTCCAACTAGTAATTACAGCTACCTTCATGCCTATGTCCTTATGGGCTGACATAAATACTCGCATGTTACATGTGAGCTATCAAACCATATAGTAATAGAACAATTCACCTAAATTATCCTAACTAAAATAGGGTAACCTAATTGGAGAATTTACTCATCCTGTGTCATCTAGTGCAATAGTCAAAGTCTAAAACCGTATGATATAGGATATAGAAACCCCTTCAAATCCAGTCCTAGCTAATGTCAACCTAAAAGTCCAAAATATTTTCGAGCCACTATCCCCAGTAACTGTCAAGCAATTCCCCCTTAAAACTTTGCAATTATGTCGTAGTAGACACATAACCAAATAATAGTTGCAAATCTATCACTGTCCATATTCAAGTCAGAAAAAATTCGTTCGTACGTCAGGAAAAGCATATCAACAGTCTAGAATTACAACCAACCCATTCACGGATAACCTGTCACTTCATCTAACAATTCTCAAGATCTTTAACCATGAATCATTTCAGAAGACCGATTCACGTTAGAACGAGCTCGATCGTACATCAGATACGATAAATCAGCCAATCAGAATTACGCCCGGCACATTCACATAGCCTGACCATTTCATCCAACAGAGTTCATGTCCCTCAGCTATGAACCATAACACAAAACCAGTTCACATAGTTCACAGCAAGGCAAGTTCAATCCGAACTACAGATTAGCCAATCAGAATTGCGCTCGGCCCATTCACGACCTAACTAAAATAGGATAACCTAATTGGAAAGTTCACTCATCCTGTGTAATCTAGAACAGTATTCACAGTCTAAATAGGATATAGAAACCCCTTAATATCCAGTCACAGCCAGTGTCAACCCGGAAGTCCAAAGTACCCTCGAGCCATTATCCCCAGTGACTGCCAAGCAACTCCATTCACGACCTAACTAAAATAGGATAACCTAATTGGAAAGTTCACTCCTCCTGTGTAATCTAGAACAGAATTCACAGTCTAAATAGGATATAGAAACCCCTTCATATCCAGTCACAGCCAGTGTCAACCCGGAAGTCCAAAGTACCCTCGAGCCATTATCCCCAGTGACTGCCAAGCAATTCCCCCTTGAAACTTTGCAATTATAACGTAATAAAACCAAATCAGGCTTGAGGTTACAGTAAATCATGATATGTTACCTACTCACAAGCCCCACCATTAATACAAAGAACTGAGAAACTGCCCTAGTTATCCAGTGACTCAAAAATCCGTAGATATAAATAAACCCTACCTTATCCTATGTATGGAAGAAAAGAGATCCGCCTGGCCGGCAAAAACCACCAGATATTATGAGACTACAATGAATATTAATGATTCCATCCTTATCATCGACCGACTAGGGTGGGGTTACAACCCGCCGGTCAGATAGGCGATATATGCTGCTCCTATGATAAGTCCTTGAATCTTATGGTCTAACACAGCCGTGTAAGTAAAAATACCAGCATATCTTCGCCGATACTCTAATAACAGGACAGGGATCTACTATTATCCAGTGTGATAGTAGAGATCCCTACCTTATCAACTGTCACAGAATATGAACTAGAGCAAGCAAGGATTTAATATCTCTTTAAATAAGGTAAAAAAGGTAAAGTCCCAAAATTATTCAAGCGGTTTTAAATGCCGTTTGGAAATAAACACATAGACAAATCCTTAAAGAGTTGCCTGTTAAAGCCTCTTGCTGCCCCCGATTCACGTAAGTGTATACTATCTATCCTATGCTAATGTACCTCTAGAAGCATCAAAAACTAACAAAGTAGGAAACTGACCTAAATATCATAAACACCACAATTAATACAAAGAACTGAGAAACAGCCCAATTGTCCATTGATTCTAGAAGCCATGGATATAACTAAACCCTACCTTATCCTAAGTAAGGAAGAAAAGAAATCCGCCTAGCCGGCAGGAACCACCGGATACTATAAGACTACGATGAGTATAATGGTTCCATCCTTATCAACGCCCGACTAGGAAGGGTTTCAACCCACCGGTCAAATAAGTGATATACACTACTCTTATGATAAATCCTGTATTCTTGTAATCTAATATAGCCGTGTAAGTAAAAATACCAGCATATCTCCATCGACATTCTAGTAACAGTACAGGGATCTACTATTATCAAGTATGATAGTAGAGATCCCTACCTTATCGACTGTCGCAAAGTATGAACTAGAACAAGCAAGAATTTAATATCTCTTTAAATAAGGTAGAAAAAGGCAACGCCCCGAGATTATTCAAATGATTATAAGAGCCGTTTGGAAATAAACACATGGACAAATTCTTAAAGAGTTGCCTGTTAAAGCCTCTTGCTGTCCTCAATTCTCGTATGTATATACTACCTATCATCCCTAAGTAAATCTAGGTCTATGCCCGTAAACATCAATTTCTTTCTTTTTCCTACCACTAATTCCGCTTCGTACCCAGCCCCAATTATCCTATCCTTAAGATCCCTGAGATGATCCGTCCTACTTACATAAAAAAGAACATCCTTCCCTCCCCTTGTCTGTCTTATCCAATCAATCATGACATTTCCAATAATTATTTTATCCTTGATATCCCTTAGGGTCTGCTGATAGTCCTCTCCCTCCTTACACCTAACCTTGATAAAGCCGCCTCTATCCCTCTCACTATCCCTATCTCTATCTCTAATATTTTCATTTTCACTACCATGTTTACTCCCTCATAACCCTTGTTCGATACTCATGTTTCCCTTGGTCCCTTTTTTATCCCAAAAGGAGAATAAATCCTATACACCTTTGCCAACCTGTCTAGATCTTCTCTTTTGTAAGTGTTTACTCTGTTCATTTGGAGAACTGTCACTGTCCATTGTCTTCGTGTCTCCCCTTTCTGCCCTTTTCCTTTTCCTTACCAACTGAAAGTCCTCACCCTCTTTGTCGGCCATGTTATTAGTCCGTTAGAATAGTATCTTACGCATCTGTCATACACTTAAATACCCAAGCATCACAATCATACTTAAAAGAAGAAACAGATATCAAACTCCGCTCATACCACTACTCACATACTAACTATTAGATAATACACTACTTCTAGTTTAATAATAGCATTTATATTAACAACGTACCAAAATTTCAATTTATCAATTTACTAGAATAGTCAAAACTCAGCATTACATGTAAAGACCCCTCTTTATTAGAGTAAGATATCTAACGAGGCAAAAGAAGATAAAAGCAGCATAAGGATTATCGGTATGCTCCTTCTAATAAACTGCACAATGTTGCTAGTAAAAAATATCCATTACTGAACTTTAGATATTGTTTCAAGAAGAAGTCGTAGTGGAAATCAAGAGAGACTCTTCAATTTTATTCATTTTTCATTTTACACACAGGTTAGAATATGTATTAATGTTCTAGTTAATCTATGCTATGCATAATTCCTGATATTAATTCCCCACGTGTGCTTTTTAATTAATAACCTAATACATAGGTAAAAATCTACATAACTGTCATCGCCTCATTATGCTTCTCCTTTGTAATAAACCTACTGTAAACTTAAAGTTGGAATAAAGCCTAATAGCTGTTTTTAGTTAATAACCAACAGGTAAACAAGTAAACAATAGTATTCTATTCTATTCTATTATGTATAGAAACCAAGAAAGGAGAAACTCCTTACCTGAAAACTTTTCAATTCTATCTGAGTAACACCAATACTGTTGCATTATATTTAACCTATGGTATCTGGAAATTATTGACCATTAAAATCTACCTGAGCTGTTACTTTTACATTATTTTAACCTGTATTCCTTTTATTTTCTGTTGTTTACTTACTTTATTTATCTATTTATTCATTTGATCTACATAAGTTTGCTCTCATACTTCCCCAGAACAAATAAAACCCCTCAGTTCTAATTTATATATGAGACATCCTCCATTATAGTATTATTAACATTAGTTAATTAAATTTATCATTCTCATATATATTGTACTTTTCACTTTGCCAAGTTATCCTTTCTTCTTATCATTAAAAAATATTTCATGTTCTATTTCCTAAAAAAGAGCCTAATTACAATCCCATATAAGAGACAACATTCCCTGTTATTTTCTTCAGGGAAGTCCTCTGTGGATTAGTTTCTATAAAACAAATTATTTCCATTAGCCTATAGGTGCAAAAGATTGCTTCCTTTTAACCCAACAAACCCTAACTCAGTACATAATTCCTTTAATTCATAAATTTTTAATACTATCCTTGACACTTGAATCTTTTTAGGTTATATTAGGATGTCTGTCCTATGTACACTTTCTCAGAAACAACGCAAGATTTATGTTCACTCTCACTACTTCTTTTATCATACTTAACCTTTCTTATCTAGACACTTTTAATTAGTTCCTAATTATTACAGAAACACAAAGAGCACCACACTTTAATACCCTCACTTATTATATAAAACACGCACTCCGCCAGTGGTTACCTCCCTATTCTTTTAATGCCTGTGTTTAGACTAGATTAAAATTATTTAATTACTATAACCAGTTTAATTTAGCTCTCTCCTATTTATTCTCCCTATTTACCTTAATTTACTCTCCCCTATATCTCTATATCTAACCAGTTTAATAGACAGCCAATAAGCAAATATCCCAGTTATGTTATACTCCCGTTCTTATTAATTGTTACATGGTAAATTATCTTAGCATCATCCTCATCCTCCTCACTCTCCTTCGTGAGCTCTTCAATCTCTTGGAGAGTTCTCCTGGCCCTATCAACTTCTTTATCAAAGTAGGATTGTTTGTACTTACCCATGACTTCCTTGCTCGCTCTCTCTCTATCCCCTGTTTCCACTATCGACTCAGTTTCCAAACTTCCCCTGGTTGATCGTCCTTTCTTGTTTTTAATCTGAGTTTCCTCTCTTTCAGGTATGCGCTCCATGTCTCTTCTACAGTCCAAGGCCGTATGCGTCGTTCCACCACATCTCCAGCATCTAAGCAGAATTTTGGAGTACTTAGCAATACTGCATACCGTCCAACCTAATTTAATAACTTTCCTCTCTAGCATCTGATTTGCTAGACCTATCGGAAGTTTGATCAACGCAGTTTGATAGGAGCCTTGTTCCCTAAAAAGTCTTGCGACTTCTATACTCTCTACGGCTGGATCTCCAGGTAGTGCGATTCCCAGACTACTATAGATACCCTTCTTAATTTCTTGCTTGCTTAGCAGAGGGTCAATCCTTCTTATTCTCACACCTTCTTTTGGCTCCAGTTTCCTGGAGTACCTTCTCTCTCCCAATTTCCTGTTAATCTCCTTCACCCAGGAGTCTACACCTTCTTCACCCTCCATCTCCACAATAATTCCA